TGCGATTACATGTTAATACATTCCGGAATTCTAAAAAAATTTGGAACAAATACAAATTTTTGGAAAAGCTTCTCAAATTGTACGAATCTATGTACTTACCTATCCCAAAAATTCCGTGCTTCTTTTTCCATCAAAAATTAAATGATCAAGATTGAGAAAGTAATTTTTTGACATTAATTCGAAGATCGTGCGACAGCACTATTTCTAATTTACTTTTACGAAAGTGATCAAATGAAATACTTTCAAGGGCAAGACGAATTTGTTCGCTTCATCAATTTACACGTGGATCGATGAAGGAAACTTATCCAAGCACAAACCAAGTGCTTTACGTATTCGTGGAAGAGCTGAAGAATTCCACTACGTTTTTGAGCGATTTCTGGGGTGTTAATAAAAACAGATTGTTTCTGACGATGTAGGTTAATTAGTCAATTTTTACTTATACGTGGAAATTACCTCCATCATTTATCAATGCTGCACCTAGTGTGGAAAACTGTGAGCTTTGCTAAATTTTTTGAATAATTTTCAGATAGACAAGAATTAATGCTCAAATTCCTGCCTGCGTTAAATTGATAATATGCAAGTAATCGCGATTAAGAAACGCAACAGCAAAGATTACATTATGATTGACTAAGCTAGAAAAGGAATTATTTTTAAATACCTCTAAAACACAGCCTCCTTAAGGGTAAAAATGGAAAATATCCTCCCAACTCACTACTCACTGACCGAAATTTACATAGTACAAAATGTAGTTCGGATGCAATCGAAGAATTAAATCACTTTATCTCAAAAACACGTGTATTTCGCGCGTAATCCTCATTAAAACGTTGCACACCACAAACAACTTGCAGTACCAAAAAAAAACTAAACAGTGGCACACATAAACTTTGCTTTAGTCGTCTCTGCTCGTTCAGAATCGTGTAAAAGTCGACAAATCCGGATTGGATTGTTACATACTCTGCATTCCAGGTGACTTAAATTAAGTCACGTGCGCACCAGCGCATCAAATTTCAAAAATCCAACAGTTTTCGCTATGGTCCGTTAGAAACTTCGATTATCTGAATCATTATTCGAAATTTGATCAATGAGCTTAGTTTGCGGTTTACTAAATTCGCCTTGTAATTTTGGTTTAAATGGGAACATTCTGGGAAGTACGTCGTGCGTGGTTTATAGTAATTAAATTACTTGTTTTTATAGTCTACAGTTTTTTTCCTATTTGCTCATTTAGTTAACAGTTGTATGATCCCGTTCGCTGCCTGGGGATGTAACGTATGTTGCCTGGAGTTGTTTTGCCACAACTTAATTTTGTACATTCCTACAAACACTTCTTTACTTCCTGTTCCTTGATCTATAATGTTACTCGTTTGTCTCCACCATTCCAATTGGTAGAAACTTTTTGCAATTCTGAAGGGAAAATGTTCTCAAAAGTTTATTTGTAAACATCAGCTGAGCTGATGAGGATACACCGATACAGTATAATGCAAAAAGGAACTATTTCATTCAAAACCAATTGAATTATAGCCATTAGGTAAGCTTTTTTTGAATATTTCTCGCTGTTTGCAATCCAAAAGTATCTTTTACCCATTTCCAAAAAAAATGCACTATACATCTTTGAGTGGTTGAAAGAGGTAGGTATAACAAATTGTTTGCGTGACATAATTCCATTAAAAGGTCTATTAAATCTCTATTAAATCAGCCACAAACATGAATTGCAAAATACGACTTGATTCATCTTATATTTGGCAAGGATTTCCCAACTGTGACAAACTATATTATTCCGTTCTGGTCTACCTCTCTGACTGATGTTCAGTTTTTCATTTCGTAACACTATGATATTACATATTCTTCAACTTTTAAAAAAATCACAAATGTGAAATGTGCTACTGAATCGTAATTTCTACTCATTTTCTTGTTAAAGTTTCTTTAAATACAAATAATACACTTATTAAATCAGTTTAATATGGAGAAATATAAATTTTGCAACAAAGAAAAGGGCCAAGGCGTTGAATGAACAATTTTTCAACAGCCGAGTCTCAAAAAACATTGTTTGAATCTTTGTGTACTTTATAATCAAAGGCTTGAATGATCGATTCCTTTAATTAAAGCTAAACGTACTAGGTAAATGAAAACAAACATGTCTACATTTTACAACATCAAATAATCAAAGAAAAGTATTTGATACACCTTAAAAATGACAGTAGCCTTAGCAATAGCCGCATTGTTATGAAAAATTGAGATGTTATAAAGAGCTATACCTTTATGTGCTATTAAATAAGTGCCACAAATATTAGAACCTTTGCAATACATTATTGATTAACGGCTCTAAGTAATTGCATTGAATAACGAAATTTTCACTCAACGATAATTGTTAATTAAATTGTCATCGGCGACTTAGTGCAGAAGCAAAAATGAAACGGTATGAATGCAAAATAAATTTACGGAAAGTATCAAGTACTTACAAATGTAACTAGCATAGCAAGACACCAAAGGCAAACGATCTTACGTTTCCGTTAAAACACCAAAGGAAAAAAGACCCACTGTATTCGGATAAAAACGTACAAAAATTATAACTTATTTAATTGTGCGGCTTGCTGACGTTCTGAAAACCTGTAATTTGTCTTAAAATTCAAATTATTTAAGAGCGCTTCTTGTAAGACCACGCACGACTTAATCGGATGCTGTGTACTGCAACTCAGTAAATAAGCTGCTGTTAATTATACCCATTTAGATGTGCGAGATTCATACTTCTAATTCACTCCCGTAAATCTACGTGGTCTTGCTCGTTTTAAATTACCATATGTGGCCATTGTGGTAAATTTGGGGAGCATTTTCTTTTATAACTTAGGAGAAGAGAAAGTACTTGAAGTACATGAAGGGGCTGTATAAACATTTATCCTTCTCTTAGCTATAGGTATACAGCCTAGGAATTGTATAAAATGCCTCAATTATTCAGATTGCCGGTAACATATTCTAATAAGGCTAATTTTTTATTGCATTAATTGCATTTTAAGAGTTCTATAGAAATTCAAAGAAGAATTTAAAATATTCTGACGAGATTCTATGACTATGCTAAGAAAATTCTGAGCTATAAATTTGCTAAAAGGATTTCAAAAGGATATTCTGAGAGGATTCGAAAGAAGATTCGGAGAATATTCCTCGAATATTTTGTCTTTGCGTTTCTAAGATGATTCTCAGATGACTATAAATTGTGAATATTCTAAAAATATACAATATTCTGAAACCTTGAAGACTACTAATAAACAGTACCATTATACTTGCTTAAATTCCTTTCATCTGAGGTTTGAAACCTCTTCACAGAGGTCAGAGACCCATATGAAGATGTGGTATTTTGTTTACTAGATTTCAAAGCGCTCCAAAAGATCTTTAGAACGGAATTTCAATAAAATTTCAGATTGCTATTTAAAATTACCCACTGATGGTTACTGGGGGATGGGAAGTTAAATTGTTTCATTTTCATGTTAGTCAGAGCTCGTCGCATTTCTGGATTTCCTGGAATATTACCGGATGTCTGTTGAATAGCCTTTCGTTCGTAAGTAAATTCACCGGTCAACAAAAAAATAAATAAAAAGTGCAATTAGACATCGAAAATATTTGCTTTTGCAAAAGTTATAGCGATTTGATTGAAAGCTTTCAGGGGCGAAAATTAATGCTGGAATCTTTGTTTTCCTTCAAATAAAAAGAAAAATGGACGGTGATATTTCCCCGCGGTTACTTAGCAAAGAGAGAAAAAAATCCTGGAACAGTTTTAAGGCAATAGTCCATGGTTTCCCGTTCAGGGTTTACTGGGAAACCATAGAGAGCTGAAAATTATGACGAGCTGACAGGTTTTGGTTTTGCATCATCAGGTATAGAATGCCTCTAAAGATGCACAGGTTACATTCTCATTTAGATTAACTTAAGGATAATATGGGAGCTTATTCGGAATATCAAGGACAACCCTTTCATCAAGACATAATGGAATTTAGGCACGTTACCAAGGCCAGTAACCTGGAAGCATGATGGAAGATCATATTTGGGGGGTTAATGAGAAAAACTTCAGTTGAACATGACAAAAACAGCAAAACTGTTCCATTTTTAAACATTTAGACTCTAAGACAAACAAATTATAAATGTAGGAACGTTACTTTATAATAAATCATGCCAATGTAAGTAAGATTTTATAGGTATTTTTATTTTTTGGTTTTTTGCATTTTTTTCGCACAAAAACAAATACATAACCTTTTTTTGTTCTAATTCTTATTTGTGGCTATACAAGCAATACAAATAAGGTATATATGTCCCATGCGCAAAAATGCTGTAGACCGGTGTTATGTTATATACTAATGCAAATTCTTAGAGTTTCGACCACTTCATAATAAATAAGCTTGTAAAGTTATAACAAAAATAGCAAACGAGTTCTTAGGTCACTGAAAATTTAATTAGTTCTTCCTTGGTTGATGATAAAAATAATACTGAAAACAAATTTGGAAAATTCGAAACCGTTCGCGAGTTATCATGTACACAGGCGGACGGACGGAATCATGAACTCGCTTTAGGAGCTCGTTAAGAAAGGGGCTCTGTAAATTAATCAGACTAATTTTACGATTAAAATTCCTCAGAAGTAAGTACCAATGCCAACGACGCGGGCACCTTCTTTATATGAATAATTTCAGTTCCTGAAAATACAGTGTTGTCATCAACATAAATGGAGTAATTTCTGTATAATGGCTTGGATTAATTTAATAATTTTAGTATTGGTCGAGTCAGGAAATGATTCGGTACCTACTTAAAAAAATTGGTCCCCGCACTTTTTAAATAGGCCTTGTTAATATCTTATTTGATTAATAACTTGCTTAAAAAATTATGGCACTCGCATAAAATCTTAACGAATACAAGATGGCAATTTTTGTGGAATTTTGAGAAGCAATTCATCAAAAAATGAAAAGTTGCTGGAACGCTTTCATTACTTAGGTATTGATTTTACCGTTTCTACGACAACCGCTAGTTTACTACATAGGCGCCCTTTCCGTCGAATAATTCATAATCAAATTTATATTACAATGAGCAAAACGTAAAAACTCCGTAGGTAGTTGATTGGTACATTAGTTATTACCCCATTTTTGTAGGGAGTTAAATCCGTCGAGATGGTTAGAGGCCCATTCCGATAGAAGTGCGGATTTAACGACGTTGCCAAAACATTTGTTACTTGCCAATATTTGTGGTGATGGAGACTACAGATTGGTTTTGGTTGATGCTAAGTTTGGTGACGACATTTCGGCTCGGCTGAAAGTCTACAAGGGTACGGTGTTGTGCTCGGACCAATCGCTACCCGACGTTCCTAGTGCCTTAATTAGTTTCTATGTCGATGGCATCGAACCAAGAACTCCTGGTAGGTAATTCTCTTTTTCAAAAATATAGTTTTAGAACCATCGCTTTGTAAAGTCTTAGGGGTAGCTTGTGGATCAGATCTACTGATATATAAGAACAGCAAACCATTCTACAAATTCTCGATTCCACCCCTATCCATATCAGCCCTCGAACAGGACGTATGGCAAAAACTCTGTCTCTCCTCAGACGAACCCTATGAGAAAATAATTGAGGCGCTGGAATCAGTTCCTTTAAGTGAGCTATCGGGGAGGTAAAGCGAGGGGATGGGTTTCCTTTGCAAAACGTTTCCATTCCAGATCTCAGAAGTTGCTGACGCTAGCGCAACAGGAGATTGAAGACTACGTGTACAAATACCGAAACGCGGAGTTGAGGAGAATATGTCCGATAACGTGTATGACCACTCTGTATCGTAACTCCGAAGATGCCACATCAGTTTCCTATCCAGTTTTGGCAACGGAGTTCGGTCAGTTGTACGTTTTGGATTCACAAACATTCACGATACTTCATGAGGTAATCGAGAGCGTCTACTAGCAAACCAAACTAGTAAAAGTGTTAACAGGCCAGGATAAGTAACACAAAGGCAACTCCGAGCATTGTGGTTGCGGCAGGGAAGTTTGAAGTGGAATTTCGTATCCTAGTGGCGTGCAGGGAGCGGTACGTCACGCTTATCCGAAAAGATTGGCTGGAAGGTAAAAATATCCTACAAACCACCGCGTCGATTGTTGACATGCTTATAATGCCCGGTGACAAGTTCATATGTATCGCAACATCCGATAAAATGCTCAATTGCTACTCGAAACGGGTATACTCTTGGTGGTGACAGTTTACGCAAACTAACCCAGATTTTTAGGGCAATAAGCTGTGGTCGGTTGCAACAGCTCAAGCGATTACGTGCATTTCACTAGTACCGCTACAGCACTTAAGCTTGTCGCTGGTCGCCGTTGGAATGCAAGGGGGCTCAATCCACTTATATCACAGTCGGCACCCAGTCGATTACATTTCCGCCCCCGACACACCATCGGCGATCGTGTTCGGGCAGATGGGCCAAGAGGACCATGTCATGGTGATAATAACTTTAGGTCGGCCATCGCTTGCTTTACCGCTGGTTCATCTATTATTCGTAGGTGGAACGATAAACTTCAAGATACTGAAACGGACGGCAGATTTTGGTTTGAATCAAGATACGGGAATATCGCCAACGATTCAAAGTAAACCATTACCATTGCCGAAGAGAAGCAAACTGTTTTTGGAACAAAGCCTGCGAGAAAAACAAAATCCTACTGGTAAGAAATTGGGTTACAATATCCTGCATTTTTTGTTCTTCAATGGTCCATGGCAACTACGCAATTACTATATTCATATAAAATATAGACTGACTCTGTTCTTGACATAGCATCCAATGCAAGAGTACTCTGAACCAGTACAAACTTTCCCAGAATCTCATTTTTTTACAGATATGCATCAAAGCTTTCAACAGGACCTGATAAGATTACGTTTGACATCTGCTAGGACTTTGCTTCAAATTAACAGTGATCAATCAGGAATTGGAAACACCAAGGAGCAAATTAAGTTATCGGCGCAGGTATATGAGCTACTGGATCTATTGCCTCTATTCGTTGTTCTGTTTAGGTGCTAGGTTTGGGTCCAACATTCACATTAATTCTAACGGTAGAAAACATGAACCCAGACAAGGCATTAATCCAGTTATCCGCAATATTTCATTGCAATCCAGAAAACTACCAACTGTCTTTGTATACGCTACCGGTAAGCTTTATAGTTAATAATTTAACATGCGCGAAGTTCCATTGCAGATTCCTTTTGTACCACCGAGTCTTTCGTACAAGATCCATAACAAGGTTATTGAATGCCTAAATGATGGTTTACCTAAAGACGAAGCGCAAGGCAATAATACAATTAGAGTATTTATTGTAAGAAATGAACAAATTCAGCCGGTTCTTGCTGCAACCATTAATATGCCACCGACAGATCCTCTCGCCTTTACTATGTAAATTTGTAATAGAAAAATTATGAATAAAACCATTTTTACTTTAGTTGTTCTTTTTTAAACGAATAGAAGAGACAAAATAATAGTTTTTTTTATGGACTCAAAAATGTTCGTAAATGAGTCTTTTCCAGAATCAATTCTAAAAAGTAACTATGGCAACTATTGGTGATCATATCCGATTATCGTTTAGGTATATGTAAATAAGATATAAGCAAAGAGTAGCTATTATTATGTATTCTTGATATAATGTACAATAATTAAATAACTGTAATGTAAAGAATACAACGATACGAAAATAGTCGTACGAGTATTAAGAGGTTTATTAATGTGTAGGTACCTAAAACGTTTTTTGAGATTCATTCCTTTCAAATTGATCCCAAAAAAACTGTCTTTTAGTTTTAGGTACTTGTAACAAAAATAACTATTTCAGCAAAGGCGGAAAAATAAGAACCAATTCAAAGTTAGTAAAGATTATTGAGTTATTATTTATCTCTTTACCCTTATCTCTGAGGGCAGAACCGCAGAAGAGGGTTATTAACCCACGAGCGGCCGAGGCATATCGATATAATTATATAATAAAAACCACCCCCAATTTAATGAATCATAAGAAGTAGGAGAAAAGAAAAATTTGTAACATACGATGACCCAGAGATGTGTGTGTTTGAGATCGATATCAACCAAGAAAAAGGATCAAAATTTAAAAAATCCATTCTATAAAAATCGCTCTAATTGTGTAATTAATTTAATTAAGAACGCCGAGCAGGTAAATATACAATTTTTTATTTTGCGGTATACAAGAACAAAAACTAAATTCTAGTGATTCACGTGCAGTACTTGAAAAAAATTAAAGTATATTCTAGTTAAAACGAAATATTGAGACTGTAAATAAATCGTAAACCACGTCGACTTTAGTTTATGGAGTGGGGGCGGCAAATTTATATAAATTATAGAAAAATTAAATACTTGTCATTCATCCCCTCCCCCCTAACAACCATACATGGATATTGTAGAGAAAATGGGGCAAATTGACGTAATGCAACAATATAATAATTCTGGGGAAAATTTTAAACTGTAATAATTAAAAAAAAAAAAGTTAACTTTACCTTGGATAATCAATAAAGGAGAGCGTTTTAAAAAGTGAAAGGTACTTGTTAACAAAATGAAGCTTTTGTATAAAAATTGAAAGAATTTAAAAAAAGGCAATAAGCATACTTAAGTAAAAATCTGGGGAGAGAGCGGGATTCTGACTAAACTTTTCGAAGAGAATCTATATGCCGGTCAAGCTCTACGTTTTTCGATCGCGTATTGATTTTTAATCGAATTTACATATTGTTTTACGCGAAAGATTTTATGGTTCGCGTAAAACATTATTATTAATTCCAGTTTAAACCGAACGTATATCCGCAGTGTGTGGAGAATCGTTGTGCTCACAACCAGAGACAGTGCCGCCATTCTTAACACGTTTAAAGAACGGTGGCACGTTTTTCCTTTACAATTCGCTACGAGCTGCCAGCAAAAGTAAATAAATAAATCGTGGCTGGTTTACGCCGAAAGAGAACTTCACCATAATTTCAAACAGTTCCAAGATTGGGCTACTAGATCAAAAGTTACAGCCCTTTGAATTTTCTTTCGAAATTGGTTTCTAGTCTATAACTGTATTGAGAAGTCTGATCGAAAAAGTACGAATTGTTTTGGATTCTATGCACCAAAATTAAGAAGAAAAAGTGTTTTCCCGAGAAATTTTGGTGCAGTCGATTTTTGGTAAAAACGGAAGGTTGTACACTGCCTTTTTTGAGGCTCGAAGAAAAATTTGTCCCAGATCGACCCGGAAAAAAATTTTCTTATAGAAAGTGGCCTGTAGAATCCATAATTTCAAACAGTTCCAAGATTGGGCTACTAGTTCAAAAGTTACAGCCCTTTGAATTTTCTTTCGAAATTGGTCTATAACTTTTGATTGGGAAGTCTGATCGAAAAAGTACGAATTGTTTTGGATTCTACGCACCAAAATTAAGAAGAAAAAGTGTTTTCCCGAGAAATTTTGGTGCAGTCGATTTTTGGTAAAAAAGGAAGGTTATACACTGCCTTTTTTTGAGCCCCGAAAAAAAAATTGTCTCAGATCGACCCGGAAAAAAAATTTTCTTATAGAATGTGGCCTGTAGAATCCATAATTTCAAACAGTTCCAAGATTGGGCTACTAGTTCAAAAGTTACGGCCCTTTGAATTTTCTTTCGAAATTGGTTTCTAGTCTATAACTTTTGATTGGGAAGTCTGATCGAAAAAGTACGAACTGTTTTGGATTCTACGTACCAAAATTAATAAGAAAAAGTGTTTTTCCGAGAAATTTTCGTGCAATCGATGAAGAAATTCGTGGAAACGATGAGGAAAGAAGAGAAGATATTGAATATCTACAAGAGATTCTGAAAGAAGCTTTGGGAACAACTTTTGTAAGATGATGTGTGAATAAATGTGGAGGAACCGTTTTGGCTGACTTACCAAGGAAATTAACATTATTTCCGCCAATTTAGTTTTACTATAGGAAGATCGAATCTACTAAAAAGTATAAAAAATCAAGTAAACCATCGATTTTTTGGATGGTATAATAAAGTTAAATTTAATCCACAGTTAGTTGTCGAAACGACCCCTTCAAACCATATTCATCAACAAGGCAGCTGGCACCGTTCTGGTTCAAATAGGTGTATTGCTCATCGTCTAAAAACCATCCTCTGTAACCTTCTACTTTATCCTTCCACTGATCTAAAACATCACATTTGAATTTGTCAAGAACTGCAGCCCCTTACGAATTAACTCTGCAACGGAACTCCCTTCCCCGCCGTACTCTTTTGGTAAGATATCTTTTGGGATCGATTTTCTTAGCTCACTGTGGTAGGTTTCATCGTAAATTTTTACCTTAAACCGAAAGATACTATCGGTAGATTAAATGCTTCAGCACTTACTCTCTTCTGCAACTTTTCGGACATAAATAACTTGACCACGTTAAAAACGCTATTAAAAAATGACGGAGTGTTAATGTAATGAAATTCTTTTGCTCTGGACGGATAGGAATGCTCAAAGCAGGAGAGGATGTTCTTAACCAAGGCTGGGGTCAACTGAACGGCATGGTTTAGGGTCATGCTTCTAAAATTGTGCAGCACCACGTGACCGGAAATGACAAAGTTGTCATCCTCATTAACTAATATATCCATGACCATCAATGCCACTTTTACCATGTTTGTAACCGACACCACTTTGCCGCCGCCACAATCGTGTAGCAGTAACACCCTCGGAGCCGTTGGATCTGTCGATTTTTCAAGAGGAATCAGCACCCTGTCCAGACAAATTCAGAGATGAGGCTTACACGTTCCGATCTTACCCTAGCTGCAATAACGCTTGTAACTCGGGTAGCAATGGATCTCTATTTGTTAAAAACTCGGGAGCTACTGTCCTCATCATGTAATAGTGCGTTATTTTTTTCTTTGTACTTTCCAGGCTGAACTTACACCCTCTCAAAAAGGACAAAATCCATTGATTGTCTAGTGCACAAATTTAGAAAGCATGCCATTATAAGTAGATATCTAACCGATTCTGCTCTTAAGACAGTGGTTCTTCTTGAGCCACTCCCTGATGCACTCAATATCTTCCGCTCGTCGGCTAGGAACCTCGCCAAGTTCTTGCACGGCTAATTTTAACAAGGCGGGAGCCACTGTGCGTACAGACATATTCACTAAAACAGACTGAATTATGTACTTGTGTAATGAATCGCTTTGTTTATGTAAACAGGCGATTATCGGCGATTCAGTTTAAAAGTTATTTATCTATTATTCTTTGGAGCATACAACTGATTGATCAAATGCGTATTTATAATAAAGTCTTAAAGGACTATCGTTGGAAAATCGTTTAAATGAACGTCGGCTTTTTCTACAAAAGATCAAAGGGCTCCAGTATATAAATACGTTTACTTATTTATATATCAAGGACGAAAAATGTTTATTATCGAAATCTTTCTAGACCAGTGGTTTTAAAACTTATTTCTATGGCTGCCCCTTTCTTAAAACTAAAATTACTAAAACTAAAACTGTAGGTTTGATGCTTTATGAATATTTAGGTCTGTTTTTCGCATTTTCTTATAGAAACCTTTGAATAGAATTTTATATTCATTAGGCTACACCTGCAGCAACCGTTGTAGGTACTGCTTTAGCAATTTTGACTTTTACTCCCGTGGGATGTTCCATAATTTTCAGTCCCTAGGAAGTGAAATTCTGGTTTACCAACGTTTCTGAGTTCTGCGGGAGTAAAGTAATTAAGTACCTATTTTAGTCCGTAGAGTGTAAAAGATTTTTCAAATTTTCTAAATACTTTAGAATGTCTCTACGGCCTACTGCATCTATTTCAGTTATTTATTTACACAAATTTTTTTAATTAAAATAAATGAAAGAAAGATTATTTTATTATTATTTTATTTTTTAAACATAAATTTTAATGGGGGTGTCTACGATTAGCATGATCTGCATGCAACAAGTTATCATTTAGCGTGCACATCTTGTCTCTCGTCGACTATTAGAAATTATTTAATTTTGTGGGTTAAGTTGATTTAATACAAGTAATGTATTTTTTTTTCCCGTTAAATTTAATTTTTAGTTTTAGCTTAGAACATGACATTTAATTTCAATCTCTTTTATATTTATGAAGGCGGTTTGAGTTTAAAATAAAGGGATATTATTATTATTATTATTATTATTATTATTATTATTATTATTAATTAGTGTAAAAATGAACAAGATATTGACTTTTCTCTTTCAAAGCTAGCGCCTTTCGAGTAGCAACTTGGGATTATTATTGTTACATGGAGAAGTAAGGATAATCCCTGTAACAAAGAGAAGTTTGGGATTTGGGGCAATTTTTAATAAAATTTTTTGTGTTTGCCTTGGAATTTGAACATTCTACAATAATTCAATTTATTGTTAGAAAGTTAGAGATTTCGCCAAATACAATGGTATCATAGAGTTTGACTATTTTATTCAGTTGACGCCATCTATCCATTGAATTAACAAACTGAAAATACTACACGTATATGATTTTTAACTTTGACATATATTTATATAATTTCTTGGAGTGTAACATTAGGTTAGACTGTCGTTATGTATGCATTGTAAAATTACGTCTAAATCCTTTTTAGATGGAAATGAAAAATATTGAAATTTAGGATAGTGTAAATATTTTCCAGAAGGCTCATACATAAATACAACTATAGATGTCAGCAACGTTATATAATACATGAAATCTAAAAGTCAAAGCTGAATAAGGAATGAGAAAATATGTCGAACCATTTATCGCCTTGTTTCGTAATAACGAAACGGTTCTTTTTTTCTTAAAGTTTGTCAAGAAAGGGTGGATACCCACCCATAAATAAAATAACATAGTAAAAATCATTAACCTCAGAAAGGGGGGATATTCGCTCTCAGTGACGTCCGTGCGTGTGCCGTAGTAACCGTAATTGTCAGGTCCGAAGATGCTTAGGAACCAGGATCCTGGGCTTAGGATGCATGCAGTCTTTACTCAATACTGTTACTCCCGCCATTGAATAATACCGCCTAGCATTGCTCCTAGTCAATGTGACTAAATTTTCAGTGAAAATTGTAACAGCATAATTTTCAACGTAAATTTGTCGGTATTCGTACCAAGGTCATGAGGTTTAGTGGATATTAAAGGCGAGAGAAAAAAGCACACGAATTGCGGGGGTGAACAGGACGTCAAAAGTGGGTACCGACAAAGGGAATGTGATTGTCCACGATAGGATCTTACTGGTAGTGGAGTCAAAACTTCAAGGGAATGCGGTAGCCTTCGACAAGATCTTCTTGATGGTCGAGTCACTGGCTAATAGAATACTGATCCGCCACACTAAATAAGGGCCTTCGATCTCACAGGAGGACTTTGATAATCTTTTACATTACGAGCAACAACCATCATATGTGAAATAAATAACAAGCGTTGCTAATTATCTTTTTAGCGTCGACGCTTATGCTTTCTCTCAATCGTTCGATCGCGCGAGGGCTTCTTGGATGAACCGTTTACGATGGTATTTTGCAGGTGGACTTTTTTATCAAATTTGTAGATCGGAGTTCGTGAATTGGCAATGTAGGGCAAAAAGTAAGGAAGGCCCTTTGACATCACCATTAGTTACGAACCGAATTGCATGAAATTCAAACTGGTTATAGTTTTAGCGATACGCAATTCCAAAAGTTGAACCTAATCGATTTAACATTCACTGTGCCCTTTTTAGCGCATTTTTGCAAACTCGCGAATTGCGGGTGAACGTCAGAAGTGGGTACCGACAAAGGGAATGTGATTGTCTACGACAAGATCTTACTGATGGTGGAGTCAAAACTGGCTAATAGAATACTTCCTTGCTGCAAGCTCGAGGCCACAAAGTAGCGAAGAAAAGTCGCTATAAAGTTTAAGATAAAGATATGGTAGATAATAGTAGCGCTGCCAAAGTGCCTCAATGGGTCATTTTTATTATTGGGAATGCGTTTAAAAGTCGAGACACTTATTGAAAAACTAATTATAAGGCACGTACTTATACTTGAAAGGTATAACGTATTTAGTTACTGGAAAATTAGTGAAATTTTATATTTAATGAGAATTGGGTATTGAGTGGGATTACACTTTACGTCATAGGTATAATGAAAACGTACGTTTCACCTTTCACGTAAACAAAATTCGTAACCAAATATGACTGAAGGATTTAATGGGACCCAAATTGGATAATTAGTGTAGCATCGGATTTCTTACCACCAGTTTCTCAAGAGGATTCTTTGATGAGACGATTTTTATGACGGGTAAACTGCGCAACTTATACCCGCCAACCCTCCTCCTTTATCCGGGCTTGGGACCGGCGCTGGTAATGGCTTGACCGTCTTTGCGTTTACCAGAGGCGGAGTTGGAAACCGATTACAAAGAATTTTTTTGGCGATTTATATTGTTACGATTTGCTTCAGTTTACATGTGCCAGCAAGGAAGCAATTACAGGCCTTAGGAATGAACACACAGAAATATGTACACCTGAATGTTGGATCAGCTCCAAATAAAGTAAAGTTCGAAAAGTGCTTCCAAAGATGGTCAAGCGCGGTTTGAGACACCTAAAGCAGCCAAATTCTGTATTACCCAGACGATCATTTGGGATTGGAGAAATGGTAATTCATTCCTAGGTACTCCCCATCAGTGCTACATTCACCCCTTCAGCCCTTACAAACTTGTGTATCGAATATCTCCAAGAACAGAAACTTTTGTGGCATCCCTTAAAAAATAATAAGCATGTACTAATAAGCATTTTGGAGGAAGCATATCATCGGGGGGTCGGGGGCCAGCACAAAGAAAATCGATTACCTTTTCCTGAAAACTACCACAACACTATACTTGCTTTCGGAGGGTGTCATCGAATCTCCACTTTAATGGGAGGTGTTCCATACCCCCTCAGACCGCCGTACAGTGCTACGTTTTCCCCAAAAACGTTCAGCCCTTACAACTTGCGTACGAACACCTCCCACAAAAAGAAACTTATTTTAGGGCACTCCTTAAAAAATAATCATTATAATACCTAGCATGTCCTAAATATTTTGGGGAAAAGCACACCAGAAATACGTTGAACATAATGGGGCAATGCACATGGGACGATTAACTACACCGCTATAGGATACCTTGCTCTATTACTCCCATATTTTTGACTATCTTGATCAACAACCCCGGCGTCCTTATTGACTTTGCAGCTCATGATGTGCACTAGGTCTTAACAATAAAAGCAAAACTCTCTTCTTGAATTTTCAAATCCCTTCTACTCGTTCATTTCTTTCAATAAAGGGCTCAACTTTTTAAATGCAAGCAAAGAGTAATTATTATAGGTAGCTATAGGTATACTCTTGGACACAAGTAAGTAAATGCCTACTATTGTGAAAAATCTTTTTGCAAAGCCCCATTTTGGGCTATATGGGATATTCCAGATTTATTCAAAAGGTCTTATGGAGCTGCTTTACAAAAGTTTGCGCAAACAATCTGCTAGCATCCAGGCTTTTAGTCTAGCTATAATTCTGTAAGTTAGTGATGTGCTTGAATAGCACATCAGCACCATGAGTTGAAGAAAATTCTAAACCTCCCCCCATAGGTACTTGGGTATGTATAGAGTTTTCTTCAACCCTCCTGTCAATTTACCCCATTTGGAGTTACACCAATCGAACATCAATAGCCAACGATGACCCACTTTAGAAAAGTTGTATTAGGCCTGACAGCAACGTGCAGCTAGGCAACTCACATTCCACGCGATCTGCATGTCATGACAGCATGGCGGAGAAACCCATCTGATTAAAAATTGGACATTAACCTTGATTTTTTTCACTTATAACCGGCGATACGGTTTTAGAGCAAGTATATCGCTTGTAACTTTCATCGAGGTATATCTCCACTCGGCACACAATTAGGTGAGTCGAGTGTTTAAGTACCTAGGTGCTCTTATTGATTTATCTATTATTCACTTATTATTTATTCATTCTTTTTTGCTTTCAGAAACAATGGGTTTAAACGAGGTAAGCATTTTACACATAAGCCTACTGGATTGATATTCATTTAAAATTTCGCCCTAGGATTTCCAAAAGGCAGCTGAAGATGTAAAAAAATTGAAGACATCTCCGACCAACGAAGAACTGTTGGAGATTTATGCCCTTTTCAAGCAGGCAACCGTAGGTGATAACAATACCGGTAAGCATAGGTATATGAAGCAAAGTTCAATTTAATGCAGTTTTTGTTGTGGTGCAGATCGACCCGGAATGTTAGATATGAAGGGAAAGGCCAAGTGGGACGCTTGGACCGGTAAAAAGGGACTTTCAGCGGATGATGCCAAAACCCAATACATTGCAAAGGTGCAGAGTCTCATCGAAAGAATTGGAATGAATTAATTAGCACAAATTTTATATACCACACCATTTTTATACAATTTGTTATTTTGTGTTACACTATTTATTGTGCTGTGCTGTGCTCGCACCAATAAACAATCGTGAGGCTGAGGATTTTGCATTTTTTTTACCTAGAACTTGCAGTAACAGGTGACCTTTTTCCGGGTCAAGCCCCTTAGATAGCTTATCTTAAATTTCACTTATCTATTTATGGTAAATTTCTCTTCATAACTATGTAAGAAGTTTTAATTAAAACATTGTACAGTCCTAAATAAAAATATTATATACCTGTGAGGAAAATGTCGACAAAATTGTTGATTGTATTTAAATGTGATTTAATTAATGGGCGAACTTTATTCTCATTACGCACCGTAATTATGGAAAAAACTGTTTGAATTGGTAATGAAGTTTTCCATTACTTTCAGGATCTCTACCTGCCACTTAATTTACCTAATTGATTAATATTTTTATATAGGGTATTTAAAGCAAGGACATGACGCAAGTACTTAATACATGCAGTAGTTTTTTTAGCATACAAAGATAAGTATAGATAGGTAGAGATATACTTAAGTGTATAAATACTCAAATTAGGTGGATAATTTTTTGTGGTACCCACCAAGCATAAATTTTTATCTAACTTTTGTAACTGGAAAAATGAAATTTTCATTTCAAAAATAGTTTATATACAATAAATACTATTATTTAATAGATTATGAATTGTGGGTGGATACAAGGAAATTTTGCACTTGTATCAGATCAATAATTAGGTACTAAGTCTACAAGTGGATTAGATATTCTGGCAAATGTGATGCTAAACTTTCTACGTTAGTTATTAGAGCCTGGCGGTACAAGTCGTTGGCAATCAAAGAGCTCTTAGGAAGTCTTGAGGAAATCCAAAGTCTCTTCTCGTATGGATTTTGAAAGGGGGGGGGGGGGGAGCACCATAGGGTCATTGTACTGCATCCTTCTAATTAGCAGTGATAGTGGTGGAGGGAGGTGGCTTTAATCTTTGCCACGGAAATCTTAAAAAATAATTTTCCAAACATCGAAACAACTTACTGGCTCAACTTTCAAGAGTGTACAACACTAAATAAGACCCGTACAATTGCATTTCTACTGCTTTTTGCTTAGCAGCTATTAGAATGTACTATATAACCAGAAGAACTCTCAAGATGTGTAGGGTGGGTAGCATGGAAAGGGCACTTTTAGAGGTAATATATTAAAGGCTGGTTTTCGAACGAATGAGGACTTATTATTTTGTGTTACTACCAATTTCCAAAGATTAGGAGTTACCTACTGTGGTATAATCAGATCTTAGACCCAAAAACCAAAAAAAAGTGAAAAGAGGTGCAATCCATCGTAGGGCATAACCATACACCTAACCTATTTCAAAACTAATGCATTCACAACCTTTTTGACAGGGTATAATGCAATCTCTAATTAACTTTGGTTTTAGGAATTTTGTAACGGGACGTATCCATATCAATATCATATCTATATAAGTATACGCTCAATAAAAAGTGGAAAGGAAAACGTTAAACGTTAAATTGGAATTATATATATGAACTCTGGGATGTTAATGATATGGGTAACTATTTCAGTCATGTGTCAATTACATCTTCTCCATTCATGCCCCATTAAGAACGGTCCGCATAACTAAACCTAAGTCACCACGGCTAACAGATAACGTACGACTCATGATGTCTTTGAGAGATGCTTTTAAATTTAAAAGAACCAAAAATATAGCGCATTGGAACTATTACAAGACTCTACGGAATATCACTAATTACGCAATAAATAAAGAAAAAAAGACATATTTAAATTATATGATACGTACAAATAAAACACGCAATCTGTGGAAAGAATTAAAATACTTAAATATTTACTCTTCTTGTAATGCAGCAATTCCACCACATTTAAGCCAACCAAATTTAATAAATGAAGCATTTGTTTTTAAACCCCAGCAGTCTAATAAAGAATTAATTAATTTTTATAGAAATAATCGCGCCTCTTAAACTTTCAAAACACATTAACTTTTTCAAAAATTTCTGATTTCGATATAGAGAGCATACTTTACAATATTAGGTTTAAAGCCATTGGAGAAGATGGAATAAGTGTTGACATGCTTTTGTTGTGCTGTCCATTTTTAATTCCATATATAACTTATATCATCAACGCGTGTCTTACATCTAACTCTGTTCCTGACACTTGGAAAATTGCTAAGGTGGTACCTATTCCCAAAAACAGTAACCCTACAAGTTTTAATGACTTACGCCCTATCAGTGTACTTCCTGTATTGTCAAAGGTCTTGGAAAAGGTTATAGCTTCTCAAATATATCATCATACTGAAAAGTATCAGATTCTACCTAAAACACAGTCTGGTTTTAGAAAAGGCCATAGTTGTGCCACGGCACTGCTAAACTTAACGGATGATATATTCGCAGCAACTGATAAGAATAAACTATTAGTAACGCTTGACTTTTCCAAGGCCTTCGACACCATTAGTCATGAAATTTTAATAAGTTTATTACATTATGTTGGCCTAAGCTCGGGTGCAAGTACGTTGATGGGAAATTATCTTAAAAATCGTAAGCAACTGGTATTACTAAATAATATTAAATCTGATGCACTACCGATTTGCTGTGGGGTCCCACAAGGCTCTATTCTGGGTCCGCTATTATTCATATTATACACCTCTAATTTTTATAAATGTCTACAACACGCCAATTTTCATCAATACGCAGATGACACGCAGCTTCATTATGACTTTCCCCACGACAACATCGCTCAGGCTATTGAGCACATGACTTGTGATATTTACAGAATTGTTCGTACGTCTGAAGAACATGCGGATTATACATTAATCCTTCAAAGTTGCTAGCGATGTTGTTTGGAAAAAGTAATGTTAGAAGTAGGTATAAGGATGCTGTAGAAATTTAGGTTAAGGGCGCTGCGTTACATGTTCAAGACAAAGTAAAAAATCTTGGAGTGGTTCTAGATTCTGATCTCAGGTTTAAAAAGCACGTATCAGAAATGGTGAGGAAAGCCTATTTAAATTTAAAGTTAATATTCAATAATCGGTTCTGTTTTAGTAAACACCTTAAAATTATGCTTTGTGAGTGACTGGTTCTTTCGCAATTCACTTATTGTGATACTCTTTATGGATCATGTTTAGATGCTGCTGACAAATACAAGATTCAAAACTCATGCATTCGATTAATTTATGGTTTAAGGCGATATGCCCATGCCTCCCACAAATTAAATGAACTAAATTGGTTAAATATGGAGAACGGGAATCTTGTGCACGCTGCCTCCTTATACCACAAAATAATTCTTAATAAATCTCCACAGTATTTGTATGAGAAAATCAATTTCAGTTCCAATACCAGGTTTTCGGTGCTGATCACTCCGCCGATGCATAAAACGGTATTTTATGAGCGTTCCTATAGTTATAACATTGCCCATCTATACAATTCTCTACCAAACTCATTTAAAAAGCTTAGCCCCAAACAATTTAATTTACATGTCCCAAGTTTCATACTTGACCGCCAGATCCGTAACCAATGAACATCTGATTAGGAACATATATATTATATGGTAACAGTAATCCTATTTAATATCATTCTCGTTACGTCCATAATCATTTCATAATTTTTGTACCGCACTGGTCAACAATAATTTTCATTATTTAGTTTTTATTATTTATAATTAGAAGCCATGTGCTTTTATAATATAAGTAATATACTGGGTTAAGTGGAAGAGCAGAGGCAGTGGGTTTCACTACTGTCATCTGAACTTCGCCCAATTAGTTACACGATATACTTTTTTTTTTCTGTTATAAATTTTGTTGCAAGATGTGTAACTAATAAAAGACATTATTATTATTATTATAAACGTTTTCAATTAGGTACATGCACTCTCGAGTAGATACTACTTATCACCATAATACTTTAATGTAGATGAACTTTTGAACCACTCTAGCCAAATGTTGATATCATTTTGTATAATTATTTTTATCATGGTTAAAGGCTACAGCTGATACTTGAATTGTTAAAAAAAGTCTATATATGGCTTTCAGATATCGGAAAGATAAGCTCTGATATAAGATGTAATCTGTAAATCAGTAGATAGAGGTACTTTAGTAAAAGACCAATGCAAGCACGTAAGTATACAGTTTAGTTATAGGAAGGGTTCATGTTGAATGACCCCCCCCCCGAAGTTAATTTTAAGCACACTTAACAGCAAATATTTTACAAATCATACTGTGCTCTGTTCTTAAATGTGGTTTCGGAACCTTCGAATAATTCGTGTAGTTTTGAAAGTTGCAAAGATCACTTTGAGGTGCCAATATGAACATACTGAAAGTGCTGGGGGGCGACGGGATCGTCGGGTTTAGGGGGGGGGGGCGGTCATGTCCTTTTTTCAGGTTTCTGCTTGTAGGTACCTCGAAATGATTACCTACTCTCTACATTAATCATATCTACGAGGGCGGGTCGAGTGAAAGTGAACCAATGCGAATATGCGACACACAAAGTACTTTATTTAAAAGTAGTCTGGTATGGTATTCAATACCGGATTTACCACTAGGCAAGTAAAAGGGGGTCGCAGCGTTTTGTACAAAAAAAATGTATACGCCGCAGACATTGGATGCGTGTTTGTGGGAGTAAAAAGCCGCTTTACATTAGGCAATTTTCGTGCAATGCAAGTTAGAGATACGTTACTGCGCATGTTCATACGCAATTCAGGTGCAAGAAAAATAAATAGAGAAAGTTCTATTTCACTTGCAAGTTTGGCGCAAGTTCTAGTAACTTTTCTAGTAATTTTGTCAATACCACAATTTATTTGGTTTCGCGTGTGTTTTTTTTAATAGCAAGCGCCACCACATAACAAGCTGTAGCCAGCTTAATTTCCTTTTGTTTGCTCATACCTAATGGTCAATTTTATTAAGTTTCAAGAATAACCTTCTGTGTAAACAAACTGAAAAGTTTCAATTTTTGAAAAATATGTTGTCAGTACTGCAACACTTTTCTGAACTTGCACAAAAGTTGCAACACAATTGCATAAATGTAAAACCGTAATAAGCAATGCAAGGCAATTTTAGATTGCATAGCACAAGCCTTGCATTGCACTAAAATTGCCTAATGTAAATCGGCTTTTAGTAGGCTCAGTAGATCATTTTTCATTTAAATTTTGTAATGACCGTTAACAACTCTTGTCGATGTTTGCAATCTTACATCATAATTTTATCGCATTTGATGCTTCAAATCGGACAAATGGCAAGCAAATAATAAAAGGAGTAAGTTTCCGAATTTATAGTAACACATCAGTTCCCTACAAATGAGTTACTAATCATTACTGATCATATCAACATTATACTTATAAATTCAATGATTATACCTAACTTCCCCCATGTTAAAAATGTAGTTACTAATTAAGAAGACTAATAAACGATCATTATGCGCAATTTAAATGAATACATAAATACCTGTGTTGTCCTGCATTTGACAAACTGAAATCTAATGGCACTGGGCAAGGTGAATCAATAAATTGAGAGTAATTAGACCTGATCAGAAAATCTTATAAATATATAAACAGAAAAGCATTGAAAGTGTGTTTTTATCTGTGATGAGTAGGTACTCATAACAGTAAATACCGCACGCCATTGGATCTTAGCGTTACTGCTTTCTTGCTTATTCCTATAGTATATGTGTACACATGCTTGATGTCTTAACAAATAAGAAAAAAACAACGCGCATGCGCAGACTTCCAATGTTCACATACATGTTACGTTTTAAATTTAAAAAAAACCCGCTACAGAGTAAGAACTCGGGGAAAACAAAATCAGAACAAAGTGTCAGGATTTGATTCATACGGCAATGTTAAGGAGGGAGCAGAGTAATATAGAAAAGTTTTTAAATGCTGGCGATTAATTTAGAAAATAAAATCGTAAAAAATGATACCAAATACATTTTACATGAAAAAATTATATTAATCGGTTATCAATTTTATTTCAAGAATAAATTAAGTTATTAACTTAGTATTTGGTTTCAACATTTACATAGTAATGCTATATGCTACACATGGAAATATAATTAAAAGTGCTGTAAGTAAAAAGTGATTAATAAAATATCAGTTATTGGTGTATCTTTGGTAAAATGCCTTGCGACTAGCAATTTATAATAAATAAAATTTAAAAAATGATAGCGACAGTACGACATATTGCAACTTAAAGACTAGTAAACGTAAAATAAAGACAAAAATGAATCGCGACAACACAATAATACTTAAAAAATGGCTAATTCAAATCGCTATCATAATACAACAGCACCAGCTTCTGCTCTACTTTCGGGCAATGGAGGGCATTCGGACCATGTATTTGTAAAAGGATCATAACATTCCACTGAGGCTACCGTAAATTGCGCTCGGTAAAAAGGATTCTCCAAAGTTTTGTAGCCTCCTATCACATACAACAGCCCATCGACAGCGGCAACTGCCGGGCCACTTCGACCGATCGACATGGGCGGTATCGTACTCCAGGTACCCTAAATACTCAAATAAATATTCCAAACACATCATTACTCAATCCGTTAACCTTTTTAAACGAATACCTCTCCACGGAAGTAAGCGTCTGCGATCTGTTATTACCTCCAACAACGTACAAGTAATCGTCTAAGACAGCTACACCCATTTGAGATCGCGCAACCGACATCGATTGCAAGGCATTCCATTGTCCTGTTAAGGGATTATAGCTTAGTAGATCCTGAGAGAATCGTTGAAATTCGGTACATCCCCCAACCATATAAATGAGACCTACAGTTATAATAATATACGTGAAATATCACATGATAGTGTTAATACGGTTAACTTGCCTTCATACGAAACAACCCCCATACTAAAGCGGGGCTGAAGTAATTTCCCGACGAGTGTCCACATATTTGTTTGTGGATTATATCTCTCAATGGAATCTCCTATGTCACCCCTTTCACCTCCCCCAACCCAGCCGCCGACCGCATACAGATACCCATTCCATGTGCACAGGCCAAATTCACAACGAGGTACGATCATACTTCCAATTTGAGTCCAACGGTTATCCTGAAGATTGTATCTTTCGCCACATGCCAAACTGTTCGATCCGTGTTCACCGCCGACCACGTAAATATTACCATTTAGCGCAGCCACGCCCGGTACTATCCGACTGACGGTCATATTCGGTGCTTTACACCATTCGCTATAAGAACAGATTTAGCTATCACTTTTCGATTGGCAATATACCTTCCACTGCTGGCAGTAAGGTACAAATTTGTTGAAAACAGATGGCAAATAAAAGAATGGTGGATTGGGTGGGAAGTGTACTGACCAGTTAAAAATAACCCACTCACTTAAAATAAGGACATTTTTTTCTCGGCAACCTATAGTGTTAATGTATTTATGAGCAATAGGGAGAAATGCCACAACAATATATAAAATCAAGAGATAAAGAGTGCAACAAAGACGGAGAAGTGTTACTGGAATTATTAGAAAATAGGGGATGAAGAATTTCAAACAGAAATATGGAGGGAGATAGGGACGGGCTATATGCATACATGGGAGGAAGAGCGAGGTCCGTAATTGATACACATTGAACACAATAGTAAACGAGAAAATACTGGAAGAAATTGAAGAATTTATGGTGGACACAAGGATAGAATCAGAAGGAAATGAGTCTAAAAGAGAAGATAAAAAGACTAAGAAAGGGAAAGATACAAAGACAAAGGAGATACAGATATAAACAAGAACTGTGGAGTCATGTAGAAGGGGACTAGAGGAACAAGAAGAAGGGAGCGAGTACAGAGGGGTGGAAAAATATGAAGGAGAGTATTACAAAGGCAACAACGTGGAAACAGGTAAATGAAGGGGGAGATAATAGAAAAGAGTGGTATACACAAACAAATATAAAATAATGATGGAGAAAGAAAGGAGAGATATAGAAGTTAAGAGAACATAAAAGAAAATGCAAAGAAAAAAAAAGATATGAAGAACAAATCTGGGAAATAAACACATAGGTCTTTTTGAAGATGATAAAATAGAGAAAAGGGAGAAAACAGAACAACGGACTCTAAAATTTAAATTGACATTAATTTCTGACAACAGAAATAGTAGTTTCAATTTGAAAAACTTTTTTATGACATTTCTTGATTGGCGCCTTTAAAAAATCGCAGCAGTCTTGAAAAGTTTTCCAAGACTTTCGGCGGTCACTCAAAAAATTCCTTAGACTTTAAGGATTTGGTTATAAAAAAGAGCACTCACCTATCTTAAACTGTTTAAGACATATGAATTTCCGAATGCACCCTTGGATCTTCAACTTTTACAGAAAAATTGACATATGTCAAAAACTATGACAGAAATTCAGAATAAAATGGCGCATTTAGGAAATGTAAAATGGTAAGTATGTTTCCATTAATAAAAACCCAAGATCGCTCAAGTTCCGGTATTTATTTTATTTCAATTCGCAATAGTTGATTCTGGCTATAAACCAAATTTCAAGTTTCTATTTTAACCGGAAGTTTATTTATTTATTTTTTCCTATATTTTAGAGTGGGCGGGGTTTCAGCCAAGGCTGGTCTACCAACCCAACCCACTACATATTTACAAATACCCATGCACGAACCCGGATTCGAACCAGGGACCCTTAGTACCCCAGTCCAGCTTCAACTGTACTGCGCTACACGAGCCGACAAAGTTTAAAAACTTCTAACGAACAGGCTACGTGAATCTCTCTACGTATGGGAATGCAAGAATCATGTCTCCCCAAGTAAGTTGGGCAAAAAAATCGATTAATCGATTATTTTAAATAATACTTAATAATCCATTATTAAAACCTGTAATCGCCCACCCCTAATCGTCAGAACGTGTTTTTAGTAAGGGAGGCTCTATTGTAACTGATAATAGGGCTGGCCTTACTCCAGATCATGCAGCACAATTAATTTTTATCGCATGTAATTCAGTTCAGTGTACGTTACATAGATAAGTGTATGTTATTCAATAAACAATATATTTTTATGGTACCTTATAAACAAAATGAGCTTTTTATTTTACCAAATCGTAGTCGTAAGACATGAACGCCGAGACGAATGCAATAAGTGCATAATGGTAGATATTACATATAAGAAAAACAAAAAAAAATTAACTAAAGACAAATAATAAATCATCATTATAAACAGTGATAGATGTAGACAATTTACTGTTTAGTCACAATGAATAAATAAAAAATTATTTAAAGCACTAGAAGTGCATTGAACTCAAGGTACACACTACGCAAACTAATATAAGTTTTGACAAATAAATCAAACTTTCAAGTAATTTAATTAAGACCTATTCATCAAAACTATCCCACACCTAAACGCACGCCCTATGAATTATTGTTAGGTGATTATTGATCGATTTGCCTATTTGGACGATTGGATGAAGAGAATTATTAGGTAAGGAACGTATTAAAGAGAACAAACAGATATTTCATTACTCCTTGTATGTGACAAATGATTATACGGTTAATCTTAATCGCTTATTTGATTATTCGATTATCTGATTATTTTTAATAATCGATTATTCAAACCTGTAATCGCCCACCCCTTGTCTTAATGCATGAATAATTGAAAAAGAACACTGATTTGTTATTTATCTTTCTCTCTCACTGCTGTTCAAATCGCAGTATTGTAGTTATTTCAAAATTATCTGTTGTAAAATCCTATAGATGGCGCAAATTTCCATATATCTTCTTTACCTTACATATTTTTATATATCTAAGATATGGATAAATATAAAAATTAAAAATGTCTCATAAATGGTTTTCTTATGGACGTAAAACTGAATTTTCAGATATCTATCTACCTATCGTTTAAAAAAATCTTTAAGATGTTATAAAATTTGGAAATTACCCTTATCCTTATTATTATGCTCTATGGCCTATGCAAATAAAAATCGTAGACATTTTGATTAGTCATAGCTCAAAGGAAATAAATTGAAAGTAGAGGAGAAACAAAAACAAAAAAAATGCACCAAATATAAGCAGTGGAAGACCCCTCGATATACCTTTTAAATGTATCATATCGTTCAATCGTCACGTAACTGCTTTCGAAACTTCTTGTCAAATTGTTTAACTCCTTTTTGGAACCGCCCACCACAAATATGTGCTTCTTCGCTCCGAGACGTGGGAACACATTTAAAGCTACCAAACATCCTTTCTTACATACTAAATCGTTGCAAATACTTTTAAGAGCGACACGTAAGCTGCTATCGTTGCATTCGGTAATAGCATGCTCCAATAAACCTAAATCAATCTGTAAATATTTGAGACGACGCGACATATCTAGTTACCTAATGGAAGAAGAGACAATCGCACAAATTTCAATACTTCGAAAACAAAACGCCTACGTTCTACAATATCGTGAGTGATCCACCTTATGGCGGCTTGAAAGACTTGAAATTCCGAATCAACTTGTAAGTTTTCCGACGACAAAAACTTTATTATTTGATCCTTGGGCAGTTCGTAGAGCTCGTCTTCGTTGATAATTTGCGGAAAGTAGCTTTGAATGAAGTGCAATGCGGCAATTTTTAATTTCTTCCAATTGTGTAACTCTGCAAATCTAAAGGGGGGGCGATTAAAAGGTGTCGTCGCCGTTTCCGCTTTACCTATAAATTCCTATGGCGTTGACGGCGTGTAGCTCCTTGATCAGATACTCGGAGCATCCTAGCACGACATCGTCTAATTCTAACATGTCGGCAGCTATCATGAGTTCCTGCACATTGTTTTGATTGATCTCTATTTCGCCAGAGTAGACAAAGTCGATTAACGTCGTAAGTACGTGCGGGGAAATGGCGTGCAGTTCGACGGACCTTTGATCTTTTTCGCACAGGTCGCCTGTGAACATTGCGTTAAAATACGGACTGCTCGCAGCAAGCACGGCGCGATGTGCCTGTAACCACGCATTGCAATATTACAAACAATATTGGAGATTTTACCTTAATCACTTCGCCGCCGGCTACAATTTCTACATCGCAAAGTCTGGAGTTTAATCTCAATATATTTAAATTAGCTAAAAGTTTCGCCACGTAATTGCAGCAGTTGTAGTTTATATTTTTTTGCGAGTTCGTGTTCGATACGGGTATGTAGTTATTATTCTGCATGGAAGTCATGTCGGTTAAACAGGTCGAGCTTTTCAGTGGTGGCATGATAATATCCATGAAAGCTGGCATGTATTGTTCCTTAAAAAGACTGGTATCTCGAAAAGAAGTGCAAAAGACACACCTTTTTCTTAAATATAATTATGGACCCATTTGTACACTGTAATTTATCCTCTAACTGAAGTGTTCTTACACTTGCATTTTATTATCATAAATCAACCATTATATGATAATGAGACGGCATTAGAAATTTTATTTGAGAAATGTAGATCTAAAAATTAGCCTAAAATCAAATGTCAAAATTGTATTGTATCTAGAGGATTTTGTTTTCAACATGTTACCTACTTGATCAGACAAAAAAATTTAAAATAATAGTTGCGTTCAAATGCTTAAAATTAGTAGCAGTTTTGTTCAGAAGTTGCAATAGCCTTTTGTAAGTACCTCCTGCGAGTCCTCCGACGAGGAAGAGGACTGTGGCTGGTAGAAATGACCTTTTTTCGTCAAACGTAAAATGGTCATGGGCTACCTAGCCATCTTACGGGTACCCAAAAGTTTTCAGAAGTTTTCAGTCGATAGTCAGTGATTGGTTTTTCTACCAGCTTACATCGTCATCTCAATGACCACTTTCATGGCCCGAAACGGCATTGCCCCACACAGGCCACCAGTGCCGGATTAATCCTCTCAGGGGCCCTAGGCAATGCAACTCTTGAGGCCCCTCTTTCCTTCACTTCACACATCCCTTACTTTTTAAAATAAATTTTTTCTTTCACAATGCAATAATTATACAGGGTCGTTATTAAAGCTCTCACGGTTAAACCATTTGAGATATGGTTAATCCGACACTCTACCCACCCTATTCACCCGGTATGGCTCCGGGTGACTTTTTTGTTCCCACGTATGAAGAGGAACTTTTGATCTAGTAGCCCAATCTTGGAACTGTTTGAAATTATGGAATCTACAGGCCATATTCTATAAGAAAATGTTTTGTTCCGGTCGATCTGAGACAATTTTTTTTGGAGCCTCAAAAAAAGGCAGTGTATAACCTTCCTTTTTTACCAAAAATCGATTTCTCGGAAAACATTTCTTATTAATTTTGGTGGCGTAAGAATCAACAATTCGTACTTTTTCGATTAGACTTCGCAATCAAAAGTTATAGACTAGAAACCAATTTCGAAAGAAAATTCAAAGGGCTGTAACTTTTGAACTAGTAGCCCAATCTTGGAACTGTTTGAAATTATGGATTCTACAGGCCATTTCCTTAAAGGGCAGTTGATAATGTGCAATTTCATGTAGGATTTGTAGAGCAAATGTACTTCAATGATCCAGTATCTGGAATTGTCTTTTGTGTATGCAATTGGTACATTTGCGCCATCTCTTTGGTAATCCCTATACTTTTCCTAATTATTTTCTTGTAATAGTTGAACCAGTTCCAATGAGATGTCGCCACGTACGAAACTACATTCACAATAACATTTTAATTTATGCACTTAATAGCCACGTCCGACTCAATTTTCCTTAAAGGGCAGTTGAAAATGTGCAATTTCATGTAGGATTTGTAGAGCAATTGTACTTCAATAATCGACTACACCAAAATTTCTTATTAATTTTGGTGCGTAGAATCCAAAACGCTTCGTACTTTTTCGATTAGACTTCTCAATCAAAGGTTATGGACTAAAAACCAATTTCGAAACAAAATTCAAAGGGCTGTAACTTTTGATCTAGTAGCCCAATCTTGGAACTGTTTGAAATTATGGAATCTACAGGCCATATTCTATAAGAAAATGTTTTTTTTCCGGTCGATCTGAGACAATTTTCTTTTGGGGTCTCAAAAAAAGACAGTGTATAACGTTCCTTTTTTACCAAAAATCGACTACACCAAAATTTCTCGGAAAAACACTTTTTCTTATTAATTTTGGTGCGTAGAATCCAAAACAATTCGTACTTTTTCCATTAGACTTCTCAATCAAAAGTTATAGACTAGAAACCAATTTCGAAAGGAAATTCAAAGGGCTGTAACTGCCTGGAAACCAAGGTAATGAATTTATCTTGCTGGGCACAATTGTGGCAGCATTTTAAACCAATCATGATAAATTGGAAAAAAAGCATGACCGGCATGGAGGATTATGTCCTTATACAGTCACTGTACCAAGGGCGGGTCTAAACAATTTTCTGAAGGGCGGAGGGGAAGGGGGCAGAAATAAAATACATTTTTAAGTTTCCATTGGATTATTTTTAAAAAACAAAATTCAATTTCCGGTTTTGTCTTTGGGGGAAACTGTCAAGTACACGATTTACATCAACTGCTACGTCTTAGCAAATATTCATCAGAGCCAACCCTGTTAGGTTGAGTGTGAACGTTGCAATTAACTTTATTTGTAGAAGTTTATGAGACGCTTGGCAAATACTCTCGTCCCCCTTGCATCGTACATAGAAACTACAGTGACTGTATCAGGACAGGGGGGGGGGGGTTAACTTAAACAAAATATGTACCATAAAAACTGCTACGTTTATTAAAAGGCAACGGAATTGAATGACAGAGGGACGAGAACTGTTAATGTTTTGCCTCATTGTAGGAGGAGCGAGTTTAGCCAGAGGACTTTCCAGCTACATCGACGCCCTTTCCAACAACACAATGAAAAGCTTCTTCACCGCGACCCTTCCCATGGACGTCGAATTCTTAGCCGACTACCCGGATTTCTTCTCCTTCATCGTGATGATGATAGTGACAGGTAAGCCGATGACCAAATGTCTTCGCCATTACGTCTAATTCTTCTTGCAGCGCTTTTAGCGGCGGGAGTAAAGAAATCTAGCATGCTGAATAATATTCTGACAACCTTAAATCTACTGACCGTTATAACTGTTGTGGTATCTGGATCGATTAAGGGTAGGTACCCGTGGAATATGACCCTGAATTACCTGAACCGCTTTAGCTGACAGCGCAAATTGGAAGATTGCCAAGGAGGAGATTCCACCGGACGTTCGCAATGCGGGCGAGGGCGGTTTTGCGCCGTTCGGCGTCGCGGGAATTATGGCGGGTGCGGCCAAGTGTTTCTTCGGGTTCGTCGGGTTCGATGCCATCGCTACCACCGGAGAAGAGGCGAAAAGGCCGCAGCGAAATATACCGTTGGCAATCGTTATTTCTTTGATTGTTATTTTCTTGGCGTACTTTGGGGTATCAGTGGTGCTGACCATGATGTGGCCGTACTACGATCAGCATGCGGAAGCTCCATTCCCTTACGTCTTTGAACGTGTTGGTTGGCCGGTAATTAAGTGGATCGTTACGATCGGCGCTGTTTTTGCAATATGCACCAGTCTGTTGGGGGCGATGTTTCCTCTACCGCGCGTCTTATACGCTATGGCGAATGACGGCCTTATATTCACCTTTTTATCACGCGTGCATCCAAAAACCAGAACACCTTTAATTGCAACAGTAGTTTCCGGTATTTTTGGCGGTAAGAAAACGTATAGACGGATTTGGAGTAAATGCACCGGTAAGTGCTCATTTTAGGGGTCATGGCGCTAGTTTTTGATCTGCAGCAGCTGATTGACATGATGTCCATTGGAACATTGATGGCGTACACAATTGTGGCAATTTGTGTGCTAATATTGAGGTACGAAGACCCCCAAGAAGTCGAGATTCCCAAGAGTGACAGTCATCATACAACTACTGGAGTAATCATCAAGCACTTTGCGTTGATCTTCAACTTAAATGGAAACAAGCACCCTAACTGTACCACAGCCACATTCACCAAGGGAGCAATATGCGTCTTCAGTAGGTTTTCTGGTATTCATTATTACACACACTAAGGATCTATTGTAGGTGTCATAGCGTTGGCAGTGTGCTTCTTCATCAAATATGCAGGAACCTTTGTCAATGCGGAACATCCTTATTATTTGACTGGATTTATTCTTCTTGCCATAATTCTTCTGAGTGTCGTCGTTGTTATTGCCAGGCAGCCGACGTGCTCGATAGAAATTTCGTTTAAGGTAAGCACATCGGCTCAATATCGAAGTCAATTCCAATTTCAGGTCCCTTGGGTCCCTTTTATCCCATGCTTAAGTATTTTCATTAACTTATACTTGATGTGTGAGCTAGACGCGTACACGTGGCTGAGATTCTTGATTTGGATTTGCATTGGTAGGTAGCACATCCACTGAGTATTATATTGAGCATGTTAACTTACAGGTTTCTTTATCTATTTCTTATACGGCATTAGCCACAGCAGACAGAAGGAATGCAGTATAGATAACGAGCCACAAACATCAGCAGCACCTGTTTTTGTTATGAAAACAAAGCCCGAGGAACGCTTTTGAACCAACGCGTGGTACTTACTATGTAATGACGCTTATTGGACAATGTGATTTTATGTTTAATGACACATTTATTTTAATACCCTTAGATGTAGGAAAATAAAATGGTTTCCTTAATTAAGTAGTCAGTAACGCCGAAAACGCTGTGCTACCTTATACAGGATCCTCGAACTGCAAAATTCTGACTTCTTACTTCATGTGCATGTTTTGAAGGTAGAGTCAGGAACGTTTTACGTAAAAAACAATGTCCTGCTGAATGAAAAAATGGGAGCAACTGGTTGAGGTGAAGCTTCCAGTCCCCCACCAGCTCCTCATGAAATTGCTTTATAAGAGGAGTCATTCGATAAGATTGACACCAAAGCTTGGATGTGGGACAATTGTGTTCATTTTTTTCCAAAGCTGTCCTCAAATTGGTAATCGCCAATTGAAAAACTTCATTCTCACTGGCAAGAAAGACCTAATTTCCACAAATCCGTCTTTTCAGCTCAGCACAGTTTTGATTGGTGCAGTCTATCTGAGTCATCACCATTTCAGCTAATACGAGAATGGTCAGAACACGCCCTTACGGCACTTGAATATGCATGGCCATGGAGGTTCATGTTACCCCTGTTTTCGACGTAAATAATCCGCTCCTTCAAACCACTACCAGCTATGACTCCATCAGGAAGAATGGAAATATGTACAATAAACATGAATTAAAAATGGCCACTGGAATGAAGATATATTGGTTTGGCACATAATGGTGTACTACGTAATTCAGCAACCATTCAAAGCCACTGTAATTTCGGCATTTAATTTAATCTCTTCCTTTTTAATCCTGGCTGGCATATAACCTTGTTCTTCTTCACAGAAGATTGTGCCGTCACTGTGGTTATTTGGAACAGAAATGTAATACGTCTTTATTTTACTTGACCTATGTTTTTTGTATTGCCTATTATATTTTCTTTGGAGTTCTCCTCTTTTTCTGGTGTAGTGGTTGGTTGGCTCCATTGAATATGTTTTAGCGGATTTATATTTACAAGTGATTTAAGCCCTGACGCATGTACGTATTTTGATGACGTAGCATTATTTTAACACGTATATTCTTTTATGGCTTTGTCTTCTTTCCTCCTTTTCTATCCGCCTATATTTATTTCTTCATTGAACATTACTATTTTACTATCTACGTCGATATCCGTTGTGGAATAAATTATCCTACATCTAATACGGTGCGATTTTAGTGCAAGATCGCATCGTTTGCACATTGTAATATCAACGGATACAGGTCAGTAAATTAATGCACATTCATCCCTTTGTTGTGTTCTTGTCGTGTTTTGCCTGATTGCAGATTATTGGCAGAGAGCGCCTTTCTGAGCTCGGAGAGGTTGCGACCCGATAGTTCAAAGCAGAGCTGGGCAGTATTCGATTTTGTAAATACTGTTTAGTATTCAAATCCTTTAAAGTATTCAAATACTTTGTAATTAAATACTTTTATGGAAGCAGTATTTGTATTTGTAACTCAAATACTTTCACAAATATTTAGTATTCGAATACTTCGCAAGGTATTTGAATACTTAACCTTCCTTTTTTACCAAAATTCGACTACACCAAATTTTCTCGGGAAAACACTTTTTCTTATTAATTTTGGTGCGTAGAATCCAAAACAATTCGTACTTTTTCGATCAGACTTCTCAATCAAAAGTTATAGACTAGAAACCAATTTGGAAAAAAATTCAAAGGGCTGTAACTTTTGAACTAGTAGCCCAATCTTGGAACTGTTTGAAATTATGGATTCTACAGGCCATATTCTATAAGAAAATTTTTTTCCGGGTCGATCTGAGACAATTTTTTTTTCGGGGCTCAAAAAAAGGCAGTGTATAAACCTTCCTTTTTTACCAAAAATCGACTGCACCAAAATTTATCGGGAAAACACTTTTTCTTATTAATTTTGGTGCGTAGAATCCAAAACAATTCGTACTTTTTCGATCAGACTTCTCAATCAAAAGTTATAGACTAGAAACCAATTTCAAAAAAAATTCAAAGGGCTGTAACTTTTGAACTAGTAGCCCAATCTTGGAACTGTTTGAAATTATGGATTCTACAGGCCACATTCTATAAGGAAATTTTTTTCCGGGTCGATCTGAGACAATTTTTTTTTCGGGCCTCAAAAAAAGGCAGTGTATAACCTTCCTTTTTTACCCAAAATAGATTGCACCAAAATTCCTCGGGAAAACACTTTTTCTTATTAATTTTGGTGCGTAGAATCCAAAACAATTCGTACTTTTTCGATCAGACTTCTCAATCAAAAGTTATAGACTAGAAACCAATTTCGAAAAAAAATTCAAAGGGCTGTAACTTTTGAACTAGTAGCCCAATCTTGGAACTGTTTGAAATTATGGATTCTACAGGCCACATTCTATAAGAAATTTTTTCCGGGTCGATCTGAGACAATTTTTTTTCTGGCCTCAAAAAAAAGCAGTGTATAACCTTCCTTTTTTACCAAAAATCGACTGCACCAAAATTTCTCGGGAAAACACTTTTTCTTATTAATTTTGGTGCGTAGAATCCAAAACAATTCGTACTTTTTCGATCAGACTTCTCAATCAAAAGTTATAGACTAGAAACCAATTTCGAAAGAAAATTCAAAGGGCTGTAACTTTTGAACTAGTAGCCCAATCTTGGAACTGTTTGAAATTATGGATTCTACAGGCCACATTCTATAAGAAAATTTTTTTCCGGGTCGATCTGAGACAATTTTTTTTTCGGGGCTCAAAAAAGGGCAGTGTATAACCTTCCTTTTTTACCAAAAATCGACTGCACCAAAATTTCTCGGGAAAACACTTTTTCTTATTAATTTTGGTGCGTAGAATCCAAAACAATTCGTTCTTTTTCGATTAGACCTCTCAATATAAAGTTATGGACAAAACCAAATTTCGAAAAAAAATTCAAAGGGCTGTAACTTCTAGTAGCCCAATCTTCAAACTGTTTTAAATTATGGATTCTACGGGCCAAATTCTATAAGAAAATGTTTTTTCCCGGTCGATCTCAGACATTTTTTTTCCGGCCTCAAAAAAAGGCAGTACTTTTAAGTTATTCAAATATTTGAGAACAATTTAGAAATGTTTAGGGAAAGTTTCCATTGTCACAAAATCAAATATAAAAATCCGATACAACTGAATACCGAACGATCCTGGAGTGAAACTTTTTGATTCGATAGTCTACGTAACTTAAAAACAATAGGGACCTTTCTTATATCCTTAAGACCATTGTGTACCAATTTTCAAAGCGATCGCACGTTTCTAAACAAACTATCATGCACACGGACAAACGGATGGTCAAAAATGGATCTGTTCCAAAATCGCTAGGATTAATTTCAGAAAGGCGTATGCATCATGTGCACGACGTACGATCGCTTTGAAAACTGGTACACGTATTCTTAAGGATATAACTGGTATAAGAAAGGTCCTGGTAGGTACCTCCTATATAATAATATAATAATAATATTACGCTTTTACTCCCCTTAAATTTGTATATAACAATAGAAATATAAAAAAGCTAACCCCATACAAAGTATAACTTGATTTTTTAAGTAGTATTAAGACTTTTATCTAGTATACTATTTTAAATTTTTAATGTATTTGAGTGACAAGTATTTGAATACTTTTTACTGTATTCGAATACTTTTCAAAGTAAGTTAATGAAATACTTTTCAAAGTATTCGAATACTTTTTATAGTATTCGAATACCTTTGATAGTATTAGAATACTTTTGAAAGTATTCGAATACATTCTAAAGTATTTGAATACTTATTTTTTTAAGTATTTGAATACTTTTCAATGTATCTGTATCTAGTATTCGCTTGTGCTGGACGTAAAAGTATTTAGTATTCAAATACCTTTGATTTGTGTAAAGTATTTACTATTTAGTATTCAAATACTTTTTGAAAGTATTCTGCCCAGCGCTGGTTCGAAGTAATATTTTATTTTCGTTGCACTCCGTGAGATTAATGTTTGTTGATAAAGGCCTTCGATTCTGCCGAATTGTAATTAATATATTTCTTTGCAGTAATTCCTGTCCTTAAAATTATTAGGGCATGGTGTATTGGTCTTAGCATTACATATTTTTCGAATTGAGGACTTTAGATCTCTTTCTAATAGTCAGTTCATGAAGGGTATAAGTTTTTTTTTAATTCTACAGGTCAAGATTTATTACTAATCGCCTCTTTCTGGTAAATATGTCACAATTTCCTTCCGTTATAATTTTTAAATTTAAGGCAATGGTTTTAGCGTTATTAGGATGTAGGCTGCTATAAGTTCATCATTGTCCCCAAATGTTGTCCCCCTGAGTTTTTTTTTGGGGATTCGGGAACAAAAAATAGTCAATGGGTGCTAAATCTGGACTGTAAGACGGATGTTCAATTTTTTCGAAGGGACAATCAGCTACAGCAACTTTTGAAAGTCTGCACTAATGCAACAAGACACCTTGCGTTAGATTTTCGCGTCTCTTCACTCTAAGCGCCTCTAAGACGATGTTTCAGGTTGGCATAATACTCTCCCGATACCGTATTAATTCCCTGATTTCCCGAGAGACCCCAAAAATGATTGCTATGATTTTTCCTGCAGAAGGGGCGACTTTAAACTTCTTGATTTTTCTTGCGTGATTGAGGATCTATTCACGGCTGCTCTTTCTTCCTATTAAGTTTTTATGAGTTGGAACAGGTCGTAGAACAGTTTGGTGTTATCACCATAACTGAACCTGCTCCTATTGGCCTTTTAATTCCTGCGGTACAGTATCCAAAGGATCATTGTTGAAGCCGTTGAATAAATTTCAGTTAAAATAGTTTTATTTATATTTGTGTAGATGGAGTATGCATACGTTGATTTAATTTTTAGTTTGGGAAATTGTGATACATTACTGATAACATTTTTCAATTCAATAGTTATTGTTGGTAAAGTTCTATTGCGTGTGAGGTGTTTTTTTGGTCTTTTGGATTCGTCATTGGTAGTGTTGGGCATTCGCTTATCTGTCAATCAATTACATCTTCTCCGTCCTGTTTTCTTCCTTTCCCTCGCCATAGTCTCCTTGTACCAGAAAAGAAAAAAAAGAAAAAAAATAGCAATTGAACGACGACAGGTAAGTGATATATTTTTGCCTATTTCAATTAATCATAGTGTATATTTGGTGTTTATGAGGTCAATAAACGTTATTATTTGATAATAGCATTAAGAATGTTGCAAGTGTTTTATAAATTGCCACATAACTTACAAAGGTATATGTGTTTAAAAATCAACATAATGAAAAATTGCCCCAAAATTCAAAACACCGCAATAAAACCGACCCCTCGTAGAACAAGGGCTTTGAATTCCAGAAGATTGCGCAAGATAATGTCTCCGGGCTGGAAGGCACGAAATAGGAAGTACATAATGTTCATGTAGTATAAAATACGAGTATAACATTGAATATAAAACTGAGGGGTAGTAGATAAAGTGCAAGATCAGCACATTTATTTATTTAACGCACGTTAACAATACACGTGCGTCCTTTCAGGTGATTAATGATCAAAGGGTTTTTCGGATTAACCGAGAAAAACGCAAACGCACGTTGGTTTCCGATATATCAATCATTTTATTCATTAATTTCTAAGGCTCTCAGTTTTCCGTTAACAAGCTCGAAATTGGTTTTCGCAGTAACCAAGGTGTCTCTCTTGGCTTTACGTTCAATTAACTCAATCGTTCCATACGCACCAACACCTATCACCAAAAGTGTCAGTAATAGATAAATTTTAGCGTCCGTTCGTAAATACGGACTGTACGCGTATGTTATCACCGATCCTGTAGATTCCCAAAGCCGGAAGTTACTATACGCGGCTTCCTCCTTTCCCGGAAATAAAATCCCGCACAGAGCTGAAACAGAACGTTTTAATATTACGGCGTTTGCATGAGTTACCCTTTTTAATGATGTATGTTTGGAGAGCATACCGGAAAACTGCCTCACCATTTATCTGTACGAGCCAAACTGCATCGCACAGTCCCCACAATCCGGCCACAACAAAGAATGGCACCTTATTAATCGATGTCGGCTTCCAAATTAACAGCGTAATTAAAAGACCGACGTGTACAACGAAAGCGAACGCGATCATCGGCACGCGTCCCGTCTTTTTCGAAATTCCACCGGCGAAAATGGCGGCGATCGCGTTGACGGCACCGAAGCATATCATTACAAAGCCAATATTGCTGATACCCCATCCGCACGACACGAACGACTGCAAAGAAAGGCTGATCCAGATCGTAAGATTTTCAGTAACTTACCGCGTTGAAATCGGCAGCTATGAAAGCTTGCTCTGCGCCAATGAACATTGTTATGGGGAGGATCAGTAGTTGGTATGGATTGAAGAGGTGTTTGAGGGTTACTATTAGTAGTGTTAGACCTGATAGCCCTGTGGCGCTTCCTGCTCTGTTCCTTTTGTACCTGAAGAAAGGTAACTTCAATTAAATATGGAGGCAGTTAGGCTTCAATTAATATGGGATAGTTTATTCAGGTGGTTACACGCGCATACGCAAGAGGTTTCATGATGCCAACAGTTTTTAAGGAGTAATTTCAGTCTTCGAAAGTCCTAGTTTCTGGGAATTCTATCCAGGAACACCAAGGGCAACCCAGGGATGGGAGCCAAGAGCATGATAAGCACAGTACCTCCAATGATGATTGGAAGCAAACTTTAATGGCGATCAATAGAATCAGAATATTCGCCATAGCGATTCCGTTCCCAAAGCGAATAATTGACTGCCCGCAGATTTTCACTGCGACGTTCATGGGATTGCAATTAAAGCGGCTAAAACGAATCAGATTTAATTAATAAAACGCCATTTTGGGGCGTTAATTAATTAAAAAAGATAGGTGGGGATTCATCCGGAGGAGATTCTTGAAGTCATTCAGTTTTGAGCTGACAGCGGTGGAGCGCTTAGTGCGAATAATCAAGCGACAAACATGCGGGTTTTGGCTGTGGTAGAATTCCAGCCCAATTGTTCTTTTTTCACCCCGAAAAGGTTAGGTATTTGTTAGAAGAACTAAAGTTTGTTTTTTCTGGCATTTGTTTTAGGTCGTATTAGCGTTCACGTGGAAATCCCAGTTTCTGGTAATCGCGAGTCGCGAAATCAACCCATTTACGAAATACCGAAAAATAGAAGGATTACTGCACGATTTAATTTCAACCAGAAAGACGTCCCGTTAATAAAGTTGAGTGCCTTAAAAGATCGACCAAGAGGGATGACAAGTGTAAAAGTGCAATAGCGACAAACGCGCGCACCAACTCAAAAAACTACACGCATTGAAGGGTTCCTACGAAATTACGTAAAAAGGTTCACCGTGGTTAGGTAAATTCTATCTGAACTGCGAATGAATGTTTCAGATAATCCAATATAAATTTGGCGTAGCAGTTTTTTTTCAGAATTAAACTTTCCTCTTTTGAAACAACGATTTGAACCAGTGAACGTATTAAATTGGATTCCGATTCACTAGACCATTTGATTGCAATCGGTTCAACTGATTGGCCGGAAATGAGAATTGCATTGATCACCAGCCGAAAGGGGCAGAAATTATTCTAGTCGGGGCGAATAGTTTGGGCGCATAGGTATTGCCAGAGTGTGAAATATCTTGAGAGCGAAAAGTCCGAGAGCGAACACTCCGGGGGCGTAATGTCCAGGGTGTTTCATTAAAATAAAAAGGAAACTTATGCAAATGGAGTGTCTGTGTGTCCCTTGTCGGCAAAAATCCTCGGTTAAGTACACGTTATAGGGGACTTCTGTCTTCTAATGGGGCACTGTTTCGGCCAGAATGAGTACCCAAGTAACCAAGGGTGTGTTAGTGCTCAAACTTACCACGTAAACTCACCTCTTGAGGGAATCCACCCCAAAAACTACGCAAAGGCAAGCTATAACCATACATGCCAGATATATTCCAGCAATTAACTGAATTTTTTCTGAAGGAGGGGGGTCAAGATTTGGATTAACTCCGGTCGTGATCCCCGGGTAAAAGTTAGCTCCACAGAGGTCCTCGGTGTTCTCTTTACACGAATGAATTGACAAACATTCGTCACTTTCTGCACTTACGTTCATCGCAACGATATTTTTACCAGAAGACAGTACTGGAATTACAATGTTGAGTGAGTGAGCGATTTATTCGGTCTAAACTTACCGGCAGAACTGATTAGATTTCCCCACACTTGCGAAAACTGGTAGAACATAAAGAAAACGCCAAAGAAGCGTGTTACTATTAAAGCGGCAGCTTCCTCGGTAATTTGAGAATACGCCTCCGCTATAATGGAGAGATACGTGCACTTGGCGCACCACAATGGCCCACCTCCAAACCCGACAAACAGACCGGATGGTATCATTGTGTAAAACCGGGGGTGAAATTGAGAGGCGATGAATGGTACATAGGTGAGGAACGCTAAAGCTATTGTCCACTTGCATCCGAACCACCTACAAAATTCCACTCAGCGCTTAAAATTAGCTATCGACCTACTTTATAACGATAGTCGGTAGAAATATATTTGACAGTATAAGAGATCCATAAATTGCGGCTAAGGTGAACGTTCCCAGCGATTCATCGGCATTGACAGAGCTTTGTAGATTCGAGGCGCCCCAAAATGCAGTAAAGTGTATCATAAAAGCGAATCCGAGTACAAGAACGTTCCTCCAAATTCTCCATTTCTCGACGGGCTGCCAATGCTCCTCGTCTGTATCGGTCGTTTTAACTTTCTGAAAGTCTTTTGGCATTTCTCCCCTAGAAATATAAAAATGTTATGTTAGAAACGTATATTTACGAATCAAGATAGTAAAATAAACGAACCCTCTTAAATGGCAATAGTAGCCCTTGTACGACGAGGATGTTATCGTGTTTTATGTACGTACCATTAGATGTCTAATATATTTGTTTCCTTTCAGAAATGGCATTCCCTCGGTCCTGTAAACTAATATTACTAAAAGTATTTTGGCTTGCTGTTACAAGAGGAGGGACCACCTCAATAAACTAGACGTTTTTCTTCAGATTAAAATATTTGGCGAATTCAGACCGGCCGAGATTTTAGAAAAGATAGTGTGTAATCGACTATGGACACCGGTTTGAAAGCGATTTGTGTAAAAGGTTCATTAAGTTGGAGAAGTACATGATGGGTTTGCTTTCTGAAAATTTTGTCATGTGGAATTGAACTAAATCTGTTTTTAATTGTTTTGAATCTGGATCGTTTAAAACCTCCGTTAAAATACTCTCCCTAAATTTAAAACCTCAAAATGTTATTTAAGAGACAGAAAGAATGTAATTAACCTTTTTTATC